TTATCAGATTTCTGTATAAATATGTTCATTTGTTGGCCCTAGGATGGGTGACTTTTATTTTGAACATAGTACAAACACAAGCGCTCATAAACGCGCGCATGCACTCATCCCTATGAACTCACACACACACCCTATTTTTATGAGCACCTCCGAAAGACTGAGCTAGCATATCATCTTGAAATTTACGAAGTCATGTAGGCACCTCGTCGTCGACGAGAACGTCTCGTCCCATTGCATGTGCATCGCCGAAAATCCTGAAATAAATGCAAGCACAAGGACTTGAACCCTGGTGGGCTGGGATACCACAGTCCCTCTAACCATCCAACTACATGTTGGTTAGATTCGAACCCTCCAACTCTTTATTGGGTTACCTGCTATAGGCTGCTAACTGAGGGAAGGAGATGGTGACAGGGGAACTAGAAAAAAAAACAAATGGAGTTGATAGGAAAATAGAATAAAAAAAAACTCTCTACGATCCAAATTAATTGATGCAGTTCTAGCACAAAATAGTGGAACTATATATTGTACTCTTACCTTCCTTGATCCTCATGGATACATCCTACATACATGAGACATGAATAAAAGGTAGTCTGTGAAATAATGAAAAATAATAATGACTTGTTGTGGGCTTTTGTAAGGATATACTTCCTTTGGTCTAAAGGGCCAACTCAAAAATCTTTTCAACCAAGACATAGGCCCTATTTGTTTGGGCTGCGGCTGAACGAGAAGCGGCTGGAGCTGCTAGAAGCTGAGAAGCGGGCTGGAGCTGGCAGAAGCTGAGAAGACCAAAAAACCTGTTTGGTAACTTTTTTAGGATGGCTGGTGAGGCTGTAGCTGGTGGTGACTGTCTATAATGCCCCTGATGCTGACGACGTTATTTAAACACTGATTTGATATGATTTATTTGATTATGATGTATATTACCTCAAATAACATGTTTAACATCTAATTTAGCCAGAAAAATGTTTTGATATTATAGTTAATTTGCAATATTGACAAGATTAGGAATACATGGGTGTATATACACATACAAGTGTCCACTGCATACATACACATACAAGTGTGCCATTGAAAATAAAATTCATGCTGCACATGCACATGCTGCACACATATACACAGGGTGTGACCGCAGCGTGACCTACCCTGGCCTCTGCTCTCTCTCAAGCAGAAGGGGGGAATGGGGTGGGGGTGGGATCCGAGGGAATTTTCTGAAGGGGCGCCTCGTATATATATGAATGGCATTTTTGCTGTAATTACTAGGAAGAGGAAGGGCAGGGATTTGCGGGAGGGTGAGAAGCCGGTGGGGACCGTGGCTTCTATCAAGCCGAGGCCCAGGTTTTTTGCTGTTTGGCTGGGCTTGTGCTTTTAGGAGCCGAAGCTGTAGAAGCTAAAGCTCAAGCCCAAACAAACAGGGCCATAGTGAGTGGAGGAACAAATTTCGTAGGATTCAAAACTGCCCAATCAATGCAACACTTGTTTTCCTCAAACAATCATGATTTTTTTTCGAGAGTACGTCAATGGCGTACCATATTTTTATAGAAGGCAGAAGACAATTACAATAAGCTACAACTTGCTGCGAACAAGTGTAAAAACAACACCACATCCAAGCTAATCCGAAGAAAAGCTGCCGCACACATTACAACACAACACAAAGGAGCTTGTCGGACCAGAGCATCGAAGCCGCGTCTCGACCAATGCCGGTCACTACGAAGAGCAACAACTTCGAGCGGACTTCCCTTGTCGACGCACCAACCACCCTTGATGACGAAAAGGAGATGGCAGGTGGGTGGCGGGACTCAGTAGGTCCCGAGAAAGCCACGGTCTTGGACTCACCGACATTGGCGTACATAGCGCCCAAGATCCTCTACTCGGACCAGCGGCACGCACCGAAGAACCACATCACCGAACCTCCAGGCCAACTCTCCTTCCACAATGCTCCCAACGGAGGAACGACGCCAAGACGCCACCATCGCCGGTCCAAGACCTAGGCATTCACCCGGAGACTACAAACCAAACAAGGAGGGGAGATGCCGACACACACAGCTATGCCTCCAAGGAGGGGAACGACGCCCACAGACGCCGTCATCGCCAGCACCGACCGAAGACGGGCAGGATTTTCATCCGTCGCCCACCTCCCACCCCTTGCAAAGAATGAGGCCAACATGTCTGTAATGGGTCACATCGCCGCCGCCGCAGCACCTCGGCATCGTGACTAATGTTCCAGAACACCGACGCCTTGCACAGCCAAGGACACGCACTCCATGAACCACCTCCCGCACGCCCGATGAAGATCCAATCCAGCAAGGCAGCACCCAACACCAACACGGCCAGACGCCAACGGGACTGCAGCAGCAGCTGCACACGCCCACTCCTGGCGGCAGCCACGCCACAACCGCGTCTCTGGAACCCACGAACAGAGAGCATCTCCACTGAGCTCCCCGCAGAGGGCCGCAGGCCCGGGCACCCTGCCCAGATCCGACCTGCACCGAACTCTCCCTCCCACGGCGCCACCACTGGCGCCGACGGCCGCAGGGGGCTAGCCGCGCGCCCTGCCCACCGCAGCAGGTCCCGGCCGCCACTTGTGCAGCCATCCGCCAGAGATCTGCCGCCTCCATGACTCGGGCGCGCCGCCTCCAACGCCCACCAGACGCACCTAGGAGGACCGCCGTGCACCAACTCCACCCCACCACGCCGTCGGCCGTGCTCCGCCTCGTCGTGCGCTCCTCGCAGCCCACCACCGCATCGGTAAGATCTGCCGCGCCGCCCGCTTAATGCCACTCCCCCGCGCGAGGGAGGCCCGTTGGGGCGCGCCGAACTCGCCCGCCGCCTTCGGCGGCCAGGCGCCGCCACCGCCGCCGGCGCCGGCGGCGGCAGCGGCCAGGGGAGCGCAAGGAAGGGGGCGCTCGCGGGGCTAGGTTTTGGCCTCCGGAGCCGCCCGCGCGAGCGGCTCGGGAGGGAGGGAGGGAGGGGAAAGTCGTTCTATGATGTGTTCTTTCAGAACCCAAACAATCATGATTGACGTTGCTTTAATATGCATTGACTATAACACATACACACGTGACCACTAAGAGCATGGTTGGTAATAGTATAATCTCCTGACTATATGTTGTTACCATGTTATGTATAGTCAATCTCAGAGCCAACATGTATGATAGTTAAGTGCAAATAGATACGAAGGACAATTTTATTAATACCTAGCTCACTTCACCCTCTCACCAAGTTTTTGGGAGTGTCCACTACATCCGACTCTTAATCTATAACCCGCTTCTCTTCTCTCTCTCCTCCAACTCAATATAAATATAATATTTAAATTCATGTAGCTTGCTTTACATCATCTTATTGTACTTGTTCTAAATGATCATGAACTGTTACATGCACCGGTCAATTTTCTCTTAACACATCAGTTTAAAATGGTGATGAAAAGGAATGGAAACGGGGTCAACAAGGCAGAAAAACTGAAAAAATGAGATACAAACATATACAACTGTAGGGTCATCTCTTAAGGGTTAGCACCGCAAAGCTTGGTACTTTTAGATTTCTCCTTTTGAATGAATGCGTGATACATGTTTCAATCTTGCGATTCACGTGCCGGCAAAGCTTTCCATTTCCACTGTCGATGTGCATTTCTTCCAAAACTATCGCATTCTCAGCGAAAAATTTGATGAGCTTGGCACCTAGGCAGTTCAACTTCTCAAACCGGAATCGCAAACCCACTCTACTCAATGAGCTCTGCAAGCACTTGAACGGGTGTCGACTCAAGGCAGGAATTTCATAAACTTCATCATATGCAACACTACTGATGGCTTCATCATTTCCTTCCTCGGAATTGCAGTCGCAATCAAAACGATCGACGGGGTTGTCGCGGCTAGATCGGAATTTCCTTTTGAGGAATTCACGAGTGTGCTCATGGTTTTTGGAGGTGTCGTGCTCCTCAGTGGTAAGGTTGATCCGGAGGTCACGGAGCACGGGGCAGCAACGGAGCAGATTCGCGATCCCCAGGGCTGCCTTCTTTACGTTCTCCCCATGCACTACATGCAACTCGAGGCGCTCGAGGCTGGAGAAGGCGGGCAGGAGCTCGGCCTGCCTCGCCTTGCTGACCACGGCTATCGCCTCGAGCTTTATGCTTAGCTTCATGTCTTTGGCGTTGGTGAAGCTCCGAACGAGTCGCCAGAAGGTTGCTAGATCACGGTCTGGATCATTGTTCCTGTAGTCAGTGTCCGGGAAAAATTCGAGGTCCACTTGTTGCAACTCCGGCGGCTGTGGACTGAATGAGAACGGCCGGAGAAGCCCCTTGTACCTGAATCTACGCAGCCTCGGCGCGTGGATCTCCGCGGCGACGAGGGGGAGGGCGGGTGAGCTGCTGTGGCGTTGGAGCATGCGGGCTCTTGTCTCCCACATGCACTTCTCCAGAACGAGCAGGGTGGCGGCCGGACATCGGAGGCGGAGGAGTGCAGCTTCTTTGGGCAGCGAGGGATCGTCGTACGTCCTCCTCCTTGATGTCGTAGTCGTCTATCTGTACGGACTCGAGGCAGACGGCAGAGAGCACTGGCGCGGCATCGATGATGCTGTGTAGGGAGCCAAGGCTCTGAGCAGAATGCCGCAGCCACAGTGACGACAGCCGCGGGAACGCGGCCACCGCGGCCTCCGGTTGGTTGAGGCCCCTGCAGTTGGTGATTTCCAGCACACGGAGAGTCTCGAGCGGCAGTAAGTTGAGGTTGAGCCTATAGGCACCTACCCGACTCAAGGAGAAGATCTCCATGTCGTCGTCGAACGATTCGTTGCTGGATTCCTGGGCGACCAGCCTGAGCTCCTCCACCCGGCGCGCGGCGAGGTGGGAGAGCACGACGTCGACCACATTTGGGTTTACCTCGCGCTGGTAGTTGTTGTAGCGGTTGCGGTTCAGGAAATCGTCGAGCGAGGTGTCGTCGCCGTCAGACTCGATGCGTAAGGTGAGCCTCTTGACGCGGCCGCCGTCGTCGGCGGCGGCGTCGAGCGCCGCCAAGGCCGCGGAGACGAAGGCATCGCGGCGTGCCTCGGCTTCTTGGTAGTAGAGTCTGCGGACGCGCGTCTCGAGATTCACGGCGCCCGAGGAGCGCCAGAGCGCCGTGCGCCAGCGCCGCGAGAGCGCGGTTGTGGACGCGGCCTCCTTGGCTGGGGCGAAGTGGAGGACGCGCCGGAGGAGATCGTCGGGGAGTCCGGACAGGCGGTCCTCGCCGGCCATCGTCTACGTCGGCGGCGCGATCAGCGATGCGATCGCGATTGGATCTCGTCGTCTTCAGCTCATGGCCGGGTATATGCAGTACGTACATGAGCCGGTTCGAGTCCATAACGACGTCAGTTAACGGGCTGAGCTGCATCTCAGTTGGGCCTAAAGTTTTCCTCCATTTTCTCTAAAGGTGCTTAACGAGACCTCCTATATGACGTGTGAGACGTCCCCTAGTCACGGTAGCACGCACCCTTCATCCCACACGCCTAATTGGGCATAAAGTTTTCCTCTGTTTCCTCCTAAGGCCATAGTACAATGGAAGATGCTTAATGAGACATCCTATATTCATCTAATTAAAGTTTTTTCTTGAAATATTTTCTATACACATTTTATGAAAGTCGCATGTAAGACATTAATATTAAGTTTGTAGTATAATTTTCCACTGTTCTCATGTTTTTTATGCTGGTCATTTATTATGCCGTCAACTAAGAAAAATATTGCGAACCAACCTGTGGTTGGATGATTAGAGTTACAGTGGTATCACCAGGCCAACAGGGTTCAAGTTTCGGTGCTCGCATTATTCCTACGGTGATTTCGTAAATCGCAAGATGATATGCTGACTCAATGTCTCGAAGGTGCTCATAAGGGTAATATGTGTGTGTGTGCGTTCCTCTGGGTGAGTGTATGCACGTATGTATGAGCGCTTGCGTCTGTACTATGTTAGAAAACCTAAGAAAATATTATTACTAGACTGGAGAAAATCTAAATCAAAATCAGTGGGAGCCTGTCCCACTATCCTCAAGTTTCAAACAAATATTATTAAGTCTGTAAAATTTTCCTATAATGTACAATAAAAATAGACCCAGAAGAATGTGTGTTGTTAAATTTTTACAAAATTAGCACCTTATATATTAATAATATTTAGATTGTCCACTGGAAATAGTATATATTTATCAGTAATCTCCTTTCAATACTGACATTCCGTTAGCATATTGGTATGAAAAATATGATCAAAAAATTTATATGGACAACCAATCAAAATCAAAAATAGAATATGTAGATATACATCCAAAATCTAGCCGCGCAAATGCGTGGTTCACCCTCCTAGTTATCATTAATTTTGCCACGTCAAATAGACGACATCAGTTGAATCCTTTAGGTTTTTCGGACTTAAATATGTTTTATCGCTTAAATCAAAAATCCGATTATAAATTCATTTTCATCATTAAATCTGCCTCGACGAGATCTTCAAAATTAAATCATATATTGATATATTTCGACGACTTTTTTGGGGCCAAAAATTTCCATGATGTTACACTGAAGTTGACATAGTGTTTACACTAAAGTTGCCATGATATGTTTCATCTATTTTTTTCTTCTAGATTAAAAGCTACCATTGCATTTCAACTACTTTTTAGAGTAAATTTTATTAATTGACCATGGAAATTTTTAGTAATTAACAATGGAAAATTTAATTCATTGATCATGGCAATTTTTAGTAATTCATTATGAAAATTTTAGTTTATAGATCACGGTAATTTTAGTATTTTGACCATGCCAATTCTAGTATTTTGACCATAGAAATTATTTTTTGTATGGACCATGGCAAATATTTAGTGAATATATCATGGCAAATTTAAGTAATTCACCATAGCAATTTTAGTTTCTGGTTCATGGCAAATTTGGGTCAGTGACCATGCATTTTAAAAGTAATTGTCGACATATTTCTTTTAAATTATGAACCATGTCAAAATTATTTTATGGATCATGGCAAATTTTAGTAATTCACCTTGACAAGTTTAGTTTCTTAATTTATTTTTTTATAGCATGTCAAAAGTTTACTTTAAACGTAGAAAAAAAGTTGCCATATTGTTTACACTAAAGTTGCCACTCCTCTGCCATCTTCTAGATGAACTGGATTGTGAAAAATGGAAAATTGTTGCTTGTTATGTTGATGTGCAGACTACCTAATTGGGAAATTTCGATAATGCTGAAAACTACATTGTAAACAGTTCATCATATTAGTAATGTATCCCAACCCTCAAATTGTTGTTTGTTATATTGATCCGCAGACTACCAAATTGGAAAAATTTCGGTCGTGATATGATTATGAGAATTGATGCATGTTTGCGGATGGCTATCAAACTATAAAATTTTTGACCTGCAAAAGATGTATTTTGTACGTACATGTTTGACGCACGACTGCAGCTGCAGGTAGGTTTAGGTTTGTCCAAGAGAAGTGATGTATACCAATAATGATTACTCTATTTGCAAATGGCGTCTGTTGTGCGCATGACAAGTGCGTGTGCATAAACTAGTATCATGTTGCCTGCACATTGAACTTATAGTTCTTTTTCTGGATAATGGTCATATTCTGATTCCTGTCAAAATGACCATTGTTGTTTCCCTTCTAGACATTTTGTATGTTGCTTATGGTGATAAACGAGCATGTAATGTTCTCTGATAATCAAAGTGCCACATAGACTACTTTATTCTGGTGTGTACTGTCTTATGTGCATTCATCAAAGATATTCCACAATTTTGTTCCCACTTATTACTTTTTACATTTTTATATGTGTAGCTTCTTTTAATTTTTGAAGACATTGAGTCTTATTTTTTGAGTCTACATGTGTGCAGAATTACTTCTGTGGTGAGCTGCCATCTGGTAAGCCAGAGTGTATGACGTCTTCTCACGTCCTACTGCCATCAATCAAGGTGGCCATCATTTGATGTCAGGCTTGACGAGTACTTCCTAAAGGCTGACGTCCACTCTCGCGCGTTGCTGAATGAGGCCCCATCTGCGTGGAAATCTGCTATTTTCTGATAGATTGGCAATGAGTTGCTTGGATAGGAGAAAAGAAACCGGATGAACATGAGAGATACATGTTGAAAACCTAAATAATGCACACACATTTATATATTTTGTGTGATGGTAGTATGTCGTCGTAGTTTTCATGTTGGTTGTCTTACTGAATGTTGCTGCCAGCAGCCCTAACTCATCACATCGGTCTCAATTTTCAGTCATGCTTGGAGCTTTGATTTGTGCTCTACAAAATCAGACAGCATGTCTAGGTTCAAGGTAATGTTGAAACTTTGGAGAAGATCACATCATATGATTTTTGGGCTGTAAGAGCTTAAACTAACTATTGCAGACATCCTGGATCTAAATTTTCAGTTTGTCTTTGTCCGTGATGAAGACAAAGGGCGCATAGAGCTTGGTTTGTTAAGCTTCTTTCTATTCTCAAGGAGGCCAGGAGTTCCTCTTGAGAAGGAAGAGGACAATGTTGAATTCGAGCACGAACTCGCAAGATGCTCCTCCCAGTCATTTGATGGACACGGAAGTAACTTTTTATCATAGTGACCTAAACGTCAGATGTTTTGTATTAAATATACCTCTTTTGTAATTTTTTTCCTTTGGGTTTGGAAGTATACTTTTTGAGAAGGTCTTTTCTTCACATATTAAGATTTTGGTCTTTTGTTTCAATACTCATCGGAGTTCATGCAGTTAGTTGTGAGGTACTTCTTAAGTTTCCATTCAACTATTGACCACCAAAAAATAGATCAAAATACTATTTTGAATCGATAATATTGTAAATAAAAATAAAAGATTTTGAAGAGGGTTTGCCCACGGCAGCGTGAAAAAAAGGTGTAGGGAAAGGAAGGGTGAAGAAAAGAAATGATGCAAGGGGGAGTGTTTAAAGAGATACGATGATTGATAGGAAGAAAGAAGTGGGAGACTATCTTAATGTGCACAGATGTAAATTAATTACCACGTGTAGTCATATTCGACGATTTTTTTAATAAAAAAGTAGAGCAAAAAGATCTACAGAACTCTACAAGAAATGTCTTTCCCGCAGAAGACTCTAACTCCTCATAGCATTACGTCAATCTGCAAATATCGAATGATGCTTCGACAGATTCAGTCATCCATTCAGCTTTGAAATCGGAGACAAGGAAAACTTCATAGAAGCACCTCGGATCAATATAGAGATGCGAACCAATATCCTTTTCTTGGTGGGCTCTAAAGTACTCGTCTTTTGCGCAAGGCCTCGTGTAAAAAAACTTCCAACCACGTCCTCCTACCTCACCCATTTGCGGAGATCATCTACATTTTGCTCCGTGTCGAGCTCCAGCCGGCCCAAACATTTTCCTTCAGGAGGGCGTAAAATCGCTTTCTTTCTGTAGGGAGGACGGATGATTCAAGTAAGGGCTGAGAGCCTACATATCACTGAGATGGGCCAAGGAAGAAAAAGCACCTACTGTTCGTTAATTGAAATTCTCTTTGCTTAGCGCCCTTGTGTTTCGAATAGAAAAGCACTGGAGATATCTTTGGAACTGTTTTTTTTCTTAGGGCAAGCTAGCAGATAGAAGTAATCTATCTGGTTAGCCAGACAAAGCATTTAGGGTTCAGTGCCTGGTTTCAAGTGTTCTTCTTCATCGTTTGGCACTTCACTTTTTGTTGAGTAATCCAATGGCCTAATGACACATGCACATCTTTTGGTGTTGTCGCCTTACTTAGTGACTAGCTCAAGTGCATTTGATCGCAAAAAAGACTGGCATTGGCTCCGGGTCAAATTTACAGGGGGCATGCAAATCAAATGCGAAAGAAAGGAAAACATTTCTGTTTCTTCTGCTTCAATGCCGTGATACACTCAAGATGTTTACGATACCTACCCATTAATTGCTCTAACTTCTCGTGGTTCACCCCTAGCTATGCCCGCTTCTATGAAATTCCACTATTTGTAATTCTACTTGAATTAGTTCTTCCTAAGTTTAGTGAGATGAGTACTGATCCATAACTAGAGGACTTGCTTTTCTGCTTGGCTCCCAGGGGAAGTTGGATTGAATAAGAGGAATTGAAGCGCAAGGAAGGCAGTCGGTATTCAAACAACTATTCAGAGTTCCCAACTCTGGGTAAAGGAAATCTGTACTTGACGACTGAACCAAATCCTTTGCCTTTATTTATTCTAGTATTTTTATATAGATTAGCTGAAAACAAAACAAAAAATACAACT